CCTCTTTTTTTTAAATGCAGTGCCCCACCCCCACTCCAGAGCTAAGTAGCAGATTTGGGATTCTGAAGAAATAGGTTTCAGCATCCATATTTGTTCTGGGGCACTTGTAAAATGCGATTTGTAGAGGGTCTTTAGCCTTCTGATTGTCTTTGAATTGTTTTTACTGAAACAGATCTTTTGCAGTTAATGAGTCCCCACGCAGCTGGACAGCTCCTCTCGGACACTGAGAACTCTAACCCCAAAATGACCCCAATTTGACACCGCAAGATGAAATTTTACCGCCTGTTAAAACCATTTCCAGCCTGGGCAAAAGGAGCTGACTGTTGACGGAGGTGTGTGCCGCCTCCTGCGACCCCCATCTCGTGCCTGTCTCCTGGGCCTGCCCCACCTACTTTTCCTTCACCCCAAATGTGGAAGAACAGATGAGCCTCACAGCCTGGATGGGGGTGCAGAGGCTGAGCCTGGAGCATCAGGAACGTAATATCAGGCTAGAAATCAGAAAGTGTGTTTACCCCACTGCTCTGGAATTGAGTCTTATTGGACTGGCAAAATTGGAGAAGGTAGGGGGAGATCAGGAAGTTCTTAAATGTTTTTCAGCCTGTTAATAAAACATCAGCAAGCTGGTGATTAAAAGTAAATAATCTTTGAATTCATCAGATTGGCCAAGAACCGAAACCCTGATACACCTCCAACTTGATCTTGTGTGTAATCTATTGCACTGGGACGCTATTTTATGCATACAGTTCCATAAATGACATGCAACTAGGTAAGTGAAGTCTCTTTAGTCGTGTGAAATTTGGGGTTCTCCCCTTAGGCAATTGGTGAATTTTTAAATGATGCAGATTTTCCTCCATTAGGGCTTCATTTTTAACACTCTCACACTTCTTAACAGAAGTCTCTGGAGTTAAAGATGATGCGGTGTTTGTTTTTTTTTCTTTGAGTCTATCATAAAATGTCCTAATTCTCTCTCCCTCTTACATCAACCAGATTGTCCCTGTACTTTGCTTTAATGTATTCAGTACAATACAAAAGAAATTACAGAATATTAGAAAGTAAGGAAGAAAGGAGTTCAGATTAAAATGATTTCTCATCGCGGAAAGGATTAAAACACATGAAAATCAAGTTTAAGCTTTTTTTTCCCCCTTTGGTAAAACCCAAGATTATCATGGAATTATCAACCCATCATTAGTTTAACAACTGTTTGAAAATACAGAAATCATCAATCGCTTTGAATTGTTTTTACTCGGATACACTGCCACGTAAGAAATTTATGTATTTTTTTTAATCATGAAGTTTTTCTAAATAAAGGCTGTGGGGGATGCTAACTCACTTCACAGAACCACTATGAAAAAAAGCGATGGTAAAAGCAGCAGAAGGTAGCAACGCTGAATGTTTAAACTCTGCAATGTAGAGGTTTGTTTCCAAGTTGATCTTCTACAAAAGGAGCATTTATCAAGGAAATTGAGTTTCTTGTTTAAAAGAGAAGTAATTGGCACTCACTATACAGGCTATTTAAAACAACAATAACCCTTTTGGCGACAATACATACGCAATATTGAAAATATGAACAAGTGTTAGAATAAAAACCAAAAATCACTATAAACTTCTCAGCTAGCGGCGCTGCACGAGGAACTCGGATCCAGCAATTTCAAGATCTCTAGTAGAAAACGCTCCGCAGGCGAGACCAGATTGTTATTTTTCTCTCATCCTTCCCACCCCGGCTAAACTGAATTCACGTAACTGCGCTTGAAACAAAATTCTGCAAGACAACTTTTTTCTTTTGTGTCTTCTTTCCTTTTCTACTCACCTTTTTTTATACGTCGACGAGCAACTCAGCAACAAATAGGGAGGATGCTTTTAATCTTGGAGTTCTTCTAGGGAAAAAAAATCTGAGGATGGAGACGGACCCTCCCCACAACCTGTAGGTTTCATACCCGTTGGATCACACAGGCTTGAAGCCCGGCGTAAAAGTGCTGGCAGTCTGGTCTAGACTCTCCTCTCCGAAGCTCCGAGTGCCCGGCCGTCCCTGCTCTGGTCAACTGGGCAAATACCTCGCAGTCCACAGCCCCGCTCCCTGGCGTCGCACTACCCTCGCCTCTGCCAGCCCCTCCGCACTATCTTTATATGTGAGGGCCGATTTCCCGCAGACATCATTGTTATGATGGCTCATTTAATCAAACTGTTTAATTGCTCTGGTAATCACTATCATCATCACAGGTGCTCAATCATTCATTATTTTTGGAGGGCTTTATTGACCTCCGGAGCTCATTCCCCACTCCTATTAAAACGGGGCCAAATTTCTCAGACATAGCTTGGTGTCTCAGCAGGCTGCGATGTAAGCTCAGTTGAGTGTTCCTGAAAGCTTACAGTGAAGCAGAGAAGATGGAAAGCGCTCCCCGCCCCGCGCGCCCCAAGCTCATCTGCGCCCCCCCTTCACACACACACACACACACACACACACACACACCACACACACACACACACACACACACACACCTTTTATTTTCCCTGTGCTTCCCATCCCCCGGGAAGTCGGGTCAAAGTCGCGCGCGGAAAATACCCTACTTTCTACTCTCCAGAATGAATTCAAAGTTGGAGAGGGAATCGGCTGCTGAGGAACAGTCTGTTTTCGAGTCTCTGGGTCAGGGACCATGAACCGGGCAAGAGCGAGGAGCGAGGGAGCGAGGGTGCTCTCGGAGCACACAGGGCCGGACTTCTGGGCAGGCGGGAGCCGGGGGAGGGGGGTGCGGTGGGGGCAGCTGCGCAGCGCGCTCTGGGTGACCATAACTCCGCCCCCAGCTCCAGGCTCGGAGTGATTGACGCCTGGCCACCGGGAAACCCTCGGCGTCGAGGTGAAGCTGGATGCAGCTCCAGCCAGGGATTGGGTGAGACACCGGCCAGAACTACTTTCTACACAAACCAAGTGGGATATTTACCTTCCTTCCCTCCCCCCGACCCCTCTTCTTTTCCTTTTTGGAAAAGTTCTTACGGAGTCGGTCCGTCTTCCCCATGTAGAGGAATTGCCTGGTACAATTAACACAAACATCAGCTGGCGTTACCACGCTCCGGCCCCTGCACCCTGGGCGACCACAACAAAGCTGGGCAGGGTATACCGGCCAATTCTTCCTGCAAGGCATCTTATCTCTCTCCCTCCCTCTGTCTCCCGTGCTTCCCAGCTCTAAGTGAGAGCCACTTCAGAGGCGCACACTAGAGGCGCGCACACAGAGGCGCGCGCGCGAGCGCACACACACACACACACACACACACACACACACACACCCTTTTGGCGACATCAGACAACATCAAACACCCAAACGACTCCTCCCCACTTCCTCCCTCCCAATTCCACCGCTGCCCCCAGAGACTCTCCAGGGTGGCCGTTGTCCACACCGCTAGGAGAGAGTCCTGTCTGAGTTAAGTTGATCTCTTCTTGTCCTGGAAAAATTAAATGTTGACAACAAGGGTGCTGGATGTGCCCAGGAAAGAAAGTACCACTTGGGAAAAAAAAAAAAAAAAAAACACCCCAAGAAAACAAAACAAAAAAAACCCCTATAGTTCCGCAGTAGTACGGTTTGCAGAGCCTGCTGCCCCTGGATGTTAGCAGAAAGCCCTCAGGAGCGCAGTAATCGGCTGGCAGAGGAGTGGGGGCCCGCGAAATTAAAAGGAACAAAAGCAAGAGCGCCATGCCAAATGTCCCCGAAACGACCCCATTAGGCTTGAGCCCGGTGTAATGGGAAAATGAACTAGAAGTAAGTTTGGAAAAAAAAAAATCATAAGAGCTGAGGCTGTACCGTACTTTCCCTGTGGTTTTCTGCAGTTTTCCTCTCTGCGCTCTCCCTGTCCTCTTCATTCTCTCCCTCTTTCCTCTCTCTCGCGCGCCCGCCCTCACGCGCGCGCCCTCGGCCGCGCGCGCGCGCGCGAATACACACACACACACACACGCACACACACACACACACACACACACTCTCACACACACACAGCCCTCTTCCTCCGGCTCCCCCACTCCGTCCCCCCCTCCCGCCGCCGTCCTCCTCCCCGGCCGTCCTCCTCCCGGGCCGTCCCCGCGGAGGAGCAGGCTCGCTGATTTGCTCTGGTCTGCCAAGCTCCTACCACCCCCCCCCCCCCCCCCCCCTTCCCCCCCCCCCCCCCCCAGCAGCCGGGGCCGTCCGATCGCACTCGCTGCATATCAGAGGCTCCGCGCGGCGCGCTCCTCCTCGCTCCCGCTCCCCACTCCCGGGATGTGTCTCCGCCGTACGACGGGCTATGGCCACCACGACTTCCGGGTTCCGTCATTTCGTTCTCCCGCCGCCGACCCGCGCCGCCAAACTGAGGCTCTTCTATAAGCCAGGCAGCAGCCAACCTGCCAACACCTACTGACACTCACTCATCTCCCAGAGAGAGAAAGAGAGCGCGAGAGAGCGAGCGCGAGAGAGCGAGCGCGAGTGAGAGCGAGCGAGCGAGAAAGAGAGAGAGGGAGAGACAAAATACCTACCAGGAAAGGGGGGGAGGAAGTCCAATTTTTGCAAACTATTCATTTTTTTTTCTTGATTTTTCCCCTCTGCTTTCTTTGAACGATACTTTAAAGAGAGAGGATCATATTATAGATACCGCGGGGGCCAAGCTAAAAGAGGGGGGGAGGGGGGAGGAAAAAATTCAAGAAGCAGAAACCCCTCGCGGAGTTTTACTGGAAGAAAAAAAAACGGGTCTGAAAGATTCCTCCTCTTCATCATCATCAACCATCATTCATTCACTACCTTGACATTCCGGGCTTTGATTGACAGCTGGAGTGGCAAAAAGCCATGAAACACGACAGTTCGGTTACATGTGGGCTGCTGACGGGCCGCTCGTAACCTTCAGTTCGGGGGCTTGACAATTTTTTTTCTTCTGTTTCTTCTTTTTCTTTTCTTTCTTTTTTTTTTTTTTTTCCAACTGAGGGGAAGAGAAGAGAAAGAGGGGGAAAGGAGGACCGAAAAGGAGGAGGAGGGGAGGGGGGAGGAGGAGGAGGTGGAGGAGGAGGAGGAAGATCAGGAGGAGGAGGAAGAAGAGGAAAAAAGAGAAAAAGAAGAAATATCACAGAAAAAAAAAAAAAAACTCTTCGTTGTCTTGCCTGGGCTTTTTTTTCCCCCCTAAAAATAACATATTGGAGAATTGGGAGAAGTCTTTTTGGTTTGGAAAAAAAAAAAAAAGGAATCTTCAGCCTAGATCACTTTCTTATCCGGACTGGGATATTAAATATACGACACATCCAGGAGTTTATTGGAGCGCAGACTGATGGCGCAAAGGGTAGGTTTAAATCTCCAACACTTACCTAGATATAAATCCTCTCCTAAGAGGGGCCTGTCCCGATGCCTCCTCTCCCTTCAACGCTGCTGCTGCTCGCTGCTTGATGATGGCGGCCAGTATTTAAAAAAATAGCAGCAAAATTATTCATCGGCTTTTCCCCCCCGTGCCTCTGCGTGTGTGCGAGTGTGTGTGTGCGTGCGTGTGTGCGTGTCTGGGCGCGCGTGTTCCAGCGCTGTGCGAGCGGGCGGGCGGCGAGTGCGTGTGAGTGGTGTGTGTGCGTGTGCAATTGTTACACGCTTTCGCCTCGCTCCAGCTTTTACCCCAGCAGCGCGATTCCCCCGGTTCTCCTGCTGCCGCCGCTGCCGCTGCTGCGCCGCTGCCGCCGCTGCTCCCGCGGCTCGGGGCGGGCACGGGCTGCGTAGGAGCCGCCGCCGCCGCCGGGGCCGCCGCTGGGGCCGCGCTGCCGCAGCCGCTGCGCCGCCGCCTAGACTAGCCTGGGCTGCTTGTTTTGTCTCTGAAATTGACAAGGACGCAGGGAATCCGCTGCTAAATAATGTTTCTGGTAACTTTCACGTTATTCCCCCCTCCCCTCCGCTCCCTGCCCCCGGGGAGGCACTGGCCCCAGTCTTCCCTCTTCCTCGGCGTTCTCCTCCTGATTATTAGCGTTTTTCTTCTCTTTATTTTGTTTCATTTCGCCTTTTGATTTATTGGATCTTCGGGAGGAGGCGAAGGGGGGTGAGGGGTGGGATCCGGGGCTTCCTCCTCACACTAACTCCACTTCTCCCTCGGTTGGCTCGCTACGATTCTGCTGCCTCCGGCCCGAGCGGGACCTCCCGGCGCCCCCTCAGTCCCTGGCCTCACTGCCCCCTCTCCCTACTCTAAACGCTGCTCTTGGTTCATACTTTTTCATTTTAAAATTTAAAAACATTTCCCCCCGCAACTTTCAACTCGTTGTTTCGGCTGGTTTGGTTTCTGTGTGTTCAACTCGTGCTCGGTACTTTTCTCCTTTCTGACTTTGTTTTTATTTCTCCCCCCCTCTCTCTCCCCTGCCTGCCCCCTCTTCCCTTCGTCTTTCTCCCCTGCCCCCCCACCACCTCTATTCCTTTCCCACTTCTCTCCTTGCTTTCTTCTCCCATCTTCTTTTTCGATTCCCCCTCGGCTCTCCCTCACCTCCCGCGCCCCCCTCCCCCTTGCCGGGTTCCGACAGTACGATGAGCTGCCCCATTACGGCGGGATGGACGGAGTAGGGGTGCCTGCTTCCATGTACGGAGACCCTCATGCGCCGCGGCCGATCCCTCCGGTTCACCACCTGAACCACGGGCCGCCGCTCCACGCCACGCAGCACTACGGCGCGCACGCCCCGCACCCCAATGTCATGCCAGCCAGCATGGGATCCGCTGTCAACGACGCCTTGAAACGGGACAAGGACGCGATCTATGGGTAAACCAACCCCCCTCCTCCCGACCCAGCATACTGTTTGTGAGTGCGAGTGTGTGTTCGTCTCTGTGGGGGTTGAGGGGATGGTCGACTAAGTGGGGAGTTATTTCTGCGGGGGAGGGGGGTGGGAACCGCTTGCCTTCAGAAAGGACAGAGAAGGGGGCCTGCTCTTCTTCGCCTTAAGTGTAAGTCCCCGAAAGATAAAGCCTCCTCCACCCCCACGGCCCCGTCACTCCGGACCCCACAGCCCAGAGTGACTGAGTCCTGAGAATCTTGCCAGGGCCTTCTCCCCAAGGACGGGATTCCTGGCCAAAGGACGCAGAATTGGTCCTTCCAGGCCCCCTAACAGAGGCCTTGACGAAGGAGAAAGTTTCCTGCAGATGAGGAGCAACTTTGGGGTTTTTTGTTTTGTTTTGTTTTGTTTTTGTTTTGTTTTGTTTTTTTTTTTCCCCCCTCTTGTTTCCTACCGAGAGTCTGGGAGTCACTAAATGCAGCTTGAGCTGGAATCAGGGCTGTTTCTGTCGGCCAGGAAGTCCTAATCACCCACTTCTTAATTCTCTGTAAATAAAGGGGTAGACCTTGAAGTGCAGCGGGCTGGAAGGGACTGCTGCTTGCACAGAGCTGCTCTTAGGAGGAGTGAGGGAGAGATGGCTGGAAATCACATATTTTATATTCTGAGGGAACTCGGAGAGGGATGGAGGTGCATGGTCCCAAAGTGTACCGCTGGTGCTCTCCCAGTTGAGAGGAGGGGGAGAAGGCGGCGGTTTGCCGAGGGGAGGGGACGGTTGGTAAACTGTAACTGAGCCTGAAGCCAGAGGCCGCAAGCATCCCGAAGTGCAGCTAAGCCGCCGGGAGGAACACAAAGGGCAGACGCGCACGCACACTTCCAAGTTTTAACACTCGATTTATTTATTTTTGCCTGCTGGAGAAATGTGGTCTTTGGAAGGAAGCTCTTGGGCGTTTAGCATTCCTATTATTTTGGCCCCCGCACACGGGCTTTACTAGAAGTCGAGCAAACAAGTTTATAAGGCAAGGGGGTGAAAAGGTTGGAAGAGCACGCTCTCCGATTTAGGTGTAAGAAATACCACTTTGGGTGTATATATAGGTGAAGCCTTCGGCCTCCTTCAAAGTAACCCTTAATATGGAGTGTTAAAGCTTTTTTTTTTTTTCTTTCTTTCTTTCTTTTTCTTTTTTTTTTTTTTTTTTTAATTTCACAGACCGGTTCCTTTCTTGAGAGGTCAGGGCTGGGTATCAGGGGGTTGGTTCCGCCGCCTCTGTAGTGTGGGGATTGGGTCTGGATCAACTCCCAGCTCCAGACTGCCTGAGCTGCTTGGATGTTTCATTACTTCCAACTGAGGCTATTCTTACTTGGCGGGCTGAAGTGGCCAGGGGCTTCTCCGACTAGATCTGAGGGACTCCTGAGCTGAGGGAAAGGGCCAGGCCGTTTTTCCTTTCTATTTCTGACCCAGGCTCGGCTGGCTAAGGAAGGGTTGTAAAGTGTGATGCGTGCCTGTTTTATTAAAGAAGGAATCCGAACCCTCCAAACTTGTTGATTACAGTTCTTGCTCCTTCCCCTCTGCACCCCGTCTCCGTGTGTGTGTTTCTGCGTGGCGCTGCCCGTTAGGCACCCGTTGTTTCCTCTGTTAGCTCTGGTCTTTGAGAAGTGCGAGCTGGCGACCTGCACTCCCCGGGAACCCGGAGTGGCCGGCGGGGACGTCTGCTCCTCCGACTCCTTCAATGAGGACATCGCGGTCTTCGCCAAGCAGGTCCAACCTTCTTGACCCACTCACCCTCCTGCAGACCCTCACTCCCCCTCCCCTTTCCTCCGAGCTTTACTTGAAAGAGGAGGAAAAGGCAGGGACACCCGATCTGTTCCTCTGGCCCAGTCCGTCCTCTTCGCCTCCTCCCCATCCCTGAGCCTGGAGGCGAATTGGAAGCAGAGATAAATATGGGTGTTTGTTTTTCCCCCCAGCCAGGAATACAGGGGCTCGACCCTCGAATTAAAGTTGACCTACTCCTAATCTGGGGCTTGGCCTTTTCTCCCGCCTGCAGCTACTTGAACAAGTATTGGGGACAGGGGCTGTGAGGCACCCGAGAGTGCCCGGGAGGGAAGGAAGCTGGCGCCTCTTGGGTCAGTCTACTTGGGGCGCTAAGGTGTGGGAGGCTGAGAGTCACAGCCCCTTCGACGGCTGGTTGAGGGGGGACTCGGTCCCAGAGAACGGCCCTGAATTCCCAGCAACAGTTTAGCAGTTCCAGGTGGCCCTTAATGGGGCCAGGAGTAGAAGGCCCCAGCACTTTTTCAGCCGAACCCACTAATTTAAGGCACTAGTTTGTTTCATGTATTTTACCAAAGCCCCTCTCCTCTTCTCTGCCACTGCCCTTCCACCATACCCACTCACACTGTTTAGTCCGTGACAGCGTTTTTCTTTTAAGGTGAGGTGGTCATTCATGTGGACTGTCCCTGCTTCTTACAGGTTCGTGCTGAAAAGCCACTTTTTTCCTCAAATCCAGAGCTGGACAATTTGGTAAGGCATACCGTTTCTTGCCTTTCCCCAGCGTGCTCCTCCTCCCCACCCCACCTTGCCTAGAAGCACCCACTTTCCTCCCGGAGATCCGGGGAGTTGGAGCAGAGCTTCTTTTGAAGCTCACGAACGACAGGGAGGAAGAGGAAACAACTTAGAGCCCCTGCAAGGGCGATGGAAGGTGAGGGGTGGGATGGACGTCAGGGAAAGTGGAGGCCAGGGAGCAGCAGGCGGGGACACAGCGCCCAGAGTGTGCAGGGGATGAGTCCCTGGTCTCGGCGGGGGGAGCGAGGCTGCGAGAAGTGAGTTATTTCCTCTGTTTGCCTGGGTAGGCAGCCGAGCCCCCGGCAGCTCACCCGAAGGAAGTAACCGCTGGCGCAGCGGCAGAGGGCGGGCGGGGAAACGCGGGGGGGGGCGGGGGGAGGTATGGGGCGCGCGGGCGCAGGCCACTTTTAGGTGCGATTCTTTTGCTAATTTGCACAATTTCAATATTAAAAGTACTTAAATCCGCTTTCAAAGGCCTTGCTTCACCATTCATCTGGAGTATTTCCTTCTTCAGTAAGGACGGATTTCGCAGGGTGTGCGGTTCTAAAAAGCTTTCTCTCCGAAGAAGCGGATTTTTTTTTTTTTTTTTTTTTAATTTGGTTTGAGGTCGAGAGAGGGGACGGTTAAAGACTCAGGCGGAGAAAGAAGGCCTGGACCTAGGAAAGCAGTCCTCACGAATAGCTCAGTGAACACAGGGGGCAAAGATATTAGATGCTTCGGCTCAGGTTGAGTCAGATTCCTACCCCGTGGCCAATGAGGCAGAGATGAGCAGTAATCACTTGGTTTTTCTGACGATTTCTTGATGTGTGAGTTTTGCCTGGCCACTTGTCTGCTTCTTCCCCCACCCCAGCTCAATTCCCTCACCACCCCCCCCCCCCCAACTCAGGACTTCTGAGTCACAGAGCCTTAACTCCACACTCTAAACTTTTCTTTCAGATGATACAAGCAATACAAGTACTAAGGTTTCATCTTTTGGAGTTAGAAAAGGTAAGCAGAGAGTGACACTCCTTATTTTGATTTAGCTGCTTTCCTTTCTTAGTTGAGTAGGGATGTCTTTAACAAACCTCCAGTCTGAGGGATTGAACCCCTGGAGGTTATGAGCAACTTGTTACCATGTCCTTCCTTCAAATTGCTGCTCGACCCAAGGGCTCAGAGGATGGGTGAATCAGGACAGCCCTTCCTGCTCCCCTACCTCACCCCCTCCCGCCTTTCCCCCTAGGCATTCAGGATTATTCTGAAATGCAGCAAACCATTTGTATTACTGGACATTCAGCCTGCTTGCGTCTCTATTAGCTTAGCTCACCCTCAGACCAGAGCAAGTGTTAGGTGCAGGCAGAGGGATCTTCCTCGCTGGGGTGACTTTACATTGCTCTGCAGCTCAACCACTGTCCCCCGGAAATGTGCAAAACTCTTAGCTTATTGAATCGCAAATGCCAACGCTATTCCCAGTTCCAGCGTTCTAACATTGTGATGTTATCATCAAATCGGATTTTCCCCCTTGGACTCCCAGTCTGAGCCCAGTTATTTCCAGTCCTGTTTCTTCTCTCTTTATTGTAACTTGTTGCTCAGGGAAGTCTCTGGAGAATAATATCTGCTGCAACAATTGCTCTATTGTTTCCTTGCCTTCAAGTATTACACCCATTAATTAGAGTTAGTTTGGAAGACATTGCACTGTTGCTCTTTCCAAATGTAACCTTGCAACCTGATTTTTTTCCCCTTTAAAAATGAAACAAAACAATAACAACAACAATAAGAGCTGAACCCTCCACCATGACCCTCCTTTTAGGTCCACGAACTGTGTGATAACTTCTGCCATCGGTACATTAGCTGTTTAAAGGGGAAAATGCCCATCGACCTTGTCATTGATGAAAGAGACGGCAGCTCCAAGTCAGATCACGAAGAACTTTCAGGCTCCTCTACAAATCTCGCTGACCATGTAAGTCTGAGAGCCCTTTCGCATTCTTTTGAGACCACTGGGTAAAGCATTAAAAAAAAAAAAAAACAAACTTGTAACATTTAGCTAAGCTTAAACTTAGTTTTCTTTTAAATGATCTGGTCTCTTTGGGACTCTTTTCTCCCTTTCTCACTACCTCTGCCATACCCTTCATCTTCGTTTGCCCTTTCCTGGCCCCTTTGCTTATTTATGTGGAGAACCAAAGAAACCAGGGAGTTGATAGAGTGATTTGTGCTCTTAATGTGTAAAGTTTCCTGGATTTGGTGGCTGGAGTGTTAGCAAATTGTCTGTTTGATATGGTGACTGCTGCCTTTTCTGCTTCCTCAACTCTGTGTAATCAGTGCAGCCGGGACAGAGAGGCAAGTCAGCTAGCAGGACAGGGTGGGGGAGAGAGACAACTGAAGGACAAGAGGAACCGGGAGGAGGGCCGATTTCCTAGTCTCTCACAGAGATGACAGTCCGGAGAATTATTGGCAATCTTGCATTGCATTAGAAATAACAGAAGGAGTGAACACATTACAATTCTCCGAGCTCTTGCTCTATAGAAACTTATTGTCAGTATATGGACTTATTGCCAAGTGCCTGAAGCATCTTCATAATAAAAGACAGTAACTTTGATGAAACAATTATTAACAATGTATTACAGAAAGCTGAAGGGAATTGCGATTGAGTAACCATAGGTTCGTGGTTGAATTTTAACACTTAAACAGTTGGTGAATGGAGACACAGTATAGTAAGGAGTGACTGTGTATGTCAGGCCAGGATGGGAGATTTCTTTCTATTCTGTTTTTAATCCTATTTTGGAACCGAGTTAGGGAGTCTGATGTTTAAAAAAAAAAAGAAAAGAAAGAGAAAAAAAAAAAGCATATGTAGTGAGACTGAAAATTTGAAAAAGAAGCAAAGAGAAGAAAGATTGCAGCTGGTAGGAAAGGCAGGAGTGGCAAGGTTAAAGAGTGGGTGTGAACAGCAGTTTATTTATAGGAACTCAAGCCGGGGGTGGGGGACATAGATTATATTCAGTTGAGCTTACAACTTAAGTGATATAGGCTATAGTCTAATAACTTGCTGGCTGAAAGATTAACTTAACATTTCGTGGAGTTAAACAGGCTTTGAGGCTGGAAGGCAACCTGTACCACCCCCCTCCCATTCCTGAGTGTTAAGAGGAATGGGTTGAGATGTCTTGAGAATAAACCTTCTGTGAGGTTATCTTTCTCCACCCTCCAAAAATAAAAAAAAAAGTTTTGAAAATATCCAGTCATACATTTTAATTATGAGCCTTTGTACTGTATGGAATGCTAGCCTGAGAACAAAAGTTTAAAAAAAAAAAAAAAGAAAGAAAGAAAGAAAACGTCAGTCCTCCTGGTTGTCTAGTTCTGAGACAGAATAAATACTATAGCATTGAAAGCTCCTACTGCTATCTTTACTCTTGGCTTTTTCCGTCATGATGGGGTGAACTTTGAGGGGCTCTTTTGTATTTGAGTGTGTTAACTAAAATCATAAGGATGCAGAAAGCAGCTATGGAAAGTTTACTTGCTGATATGTGGCTATATGATGCGTGGTGGTGGTCCACAAGGCATGACACTCCCTTAGAAATTGTTGTTGTTGTTGTAATTTATTTGTTTATTTTCACTGCTTCCTGTTTCTCAATTCAAATGCAACCTGCAATGTTGGGGGGGATGAGAAGGAATCTAGTTCCACGGTTTGTAGGATGAGAGGTTCACAGTTATCTGCAGCCAAAAACGTTTCTCATGACATTTCCAGGGGTCTCGACTACTTGGTTTTCTAGAATAGTTTCTTGGCAACTGTTTTTCAAGTGGATGTGTGGAACTAGAACATGCCGATGTTTGCAGGGAAGAGATAAGATAAACTAGGCTGTCTAGAGTATTGGCCGATAGTGCCCATTTATGAAACTATTGTAATATTTAAATTATACTCAAAAAGGAAGTGGTACCTAAGAGGATAGCGCTTTAATAATTGAACAATCATCATCTTTGGATAAAAGAGTCAACTGTAACATTTGTTGCTCCTCTTTCAGGCCCCCAATCAAGTAAAGATGACAACTGATTTATTTTGAACCCATGAGGGCTTGCCACCTCATTGGGCATCATAATTTAAAGCCTTTTATTTCCTAGAGTTCTGAACTATAACATTTTTACTTTAGCCCCCTGCTATTTGTTTTGAAAGGAAGCAATAATTTGTTCCACCAGCACACCGAGTGGGAAATGGCGAGATTTGCTTCAGACTTGAATTTTATGCAGGAGGAGAGAGAAAACCTTGCAGAGTTTTCACCATTTTTGCTATTTCTGTATCATAGGTGCATTGGTTATATTCCTTTCCAAGCATCCCCCTACAAAGCGAATTCTCTCGTGTCTGCCTCTTCTGCAAGTCCACCCTCCATTCCTACCCCGCCCCCCCACCAAAAAAGGGGAAAATACCCCAGAACTACTACCTGCGAAGTGGTATGGGTGGGACATTTTCAGCATGTAAATGTGTCCAATTTGAATCTCCAGGTTTATTTTTTTCATTTGCTTTGATATGCATATTTAATACATTGCCCCAGGCTGGATCTCATTTGGTGCACGCTGGTGCAGGGGTGATGATGAGCCACTTCAGAAGGCCTGAGACAGCGTGTTGTTTTCTCTGTTTTATCTGTTGGCCCACTATTCTGATCTACTGCGCTTCCTCATGGTTTTATTTGCACATGAAATGCCGAGAGCATTTCAACTTATTGGCTATGAATAATGACAGCTAAAAAAGAAGTGTAGTTTAATTTGTTGTGTGCCAAGGTTTCTCTTGTGGAGGTGACAGTTTGTGACAGCTGTTTGACACCCCCAAAACACATACACCTCTATACTTATTAAGTGGTATCAAGCTGCACTGTGTGTGTGTGTGTGTGTGTGTGTGAGTGTGTGTGTGTGTTTAAGGAAGGCTTGGGCAAGGGCAGAGAGAGTGAAAGAGAGAAAAGAAAGAATAAGTGTAATTTTGCATGGTGGAAAGCAGGAGAAAAGCATCAGGAGCAAAATATTAGGTGCCAAAATAGACTTCTATTTTCTTATTGAAAATTTTGAAAATAAAACTGAATGAAAGTAATGGCTACAAATATCTTGAAAGCAAGTATTTTTGGCAGGCTTTTAAGAATGAGTTTTATATACTATTACGCAGTAAATCAGGCTGTTGTCACGCTGATTTCACATTCTGCAATTTTATGTAAATAATCTGATGTAACATTGTTAAAATACAACCAGGGTGTCCTAACCTTTTGTACGTTACATTCATTCAAGATACTAAACTAGTTCATTTATTATCGACATTTACATGATGGGTATGATGATAAAAGGAAGTTTGCAATTAAATAGAAAATAAAATGTGCAACACTGGCCCCTATTTTGTTGTTTTTAGTAAATTCATAATGAATGCTTACATTTTTGTATTATAATACAGTTTCTTTTATATTCTTATTAAACATGAGAGTAATTGTTGTAGGTAGGAAACAACTATTACAGTATTCTTTGGAATATTGGGAAGAAGAAAATAAGATGGTGAAAGGAAATAGAGCTCTATTTTCCAGCTGCAATTCATGTTAAGTTTCTCAGACATTCAAATTTATTATGTTTAAAATAAACATGTCAAGAAACCAATTCTTTAAAAAAAAACTTTCAATTTGAAAACTATTGTGGAATATTCATGCTTTTCCTAGTCTGTAGTATTTCTAAATGATAGGTGATATCCACACTTGCTACTTTATATAATTTCAGGTCTAGTACAGAAAAAAATAAAATATATCTTTACATGTGAAGATATCACATATCTTTAGATCAATGTTAGATAAATGAAATATATCTGTTTAAAGACATTCTCTGAGCCAAGCTCTATTTGCCTGAAGTGCATACAGTTATATTATTATTTCTAATTAATGTTCATAAGGAACTCATTTATTTATTTTTTGGATGAATTAAGTATAAGGAAGAAAATACAACTTTATCTGTTAATAGTTAATGACAGGTGACTTAAAATTGACTGGCTCTGATAATATGATTAATAAAAGAAAAAAATATTCTAATTTCTATGTTGAAAGCTGTAATTTAGCTGAAGATACACTGTTGTTTTCTTTTCCATCTCTGAAATGTCAAGTTTATTTACCTGTATACAGCTTCTAAAAATGGGTTAAGAACCTTGTCCCTGACAGAATACAGGCAAGTGTCTAGAGGTAAAATCTATTAGTACCTGGAAAGTCAGCAGGGATTAGGCAACAAGGAGAGGGATAGGTTTAAGTGATATCCTATAGGATATCAAGGGGGAAATAATGGGATTTGATAATAATATTAATAATACAAATGATTTATTTTATCAGATAGTTTCTTAAGTTCTAGACCTTGCGGTGTCTTATTCAGTGTCTCCATTCCAGGAAAGTTCTGCCTCTGAGTTCTTTCCGTCAATTCAGCATGGTGGGGGTCATGGGTATTCTGTCGTTATTGTTGTGTAGCTTCTGGAAGTTGATAGCTCTGCTGTCAATTTCCCACTCAAAATAATTACATTATTTAAATCACTTTGGGTGTGTGGTTGAAGTATGTTTTCAGTGTAACTGTGATCAGATGAAGTCAAACACGCACTTGACCACCGCTGACATTCACTCTCGGATTAGAATTTTGATACTTTAAAAATGAATTTCCCATTTTTTTTCAGACTGAATGTTTTATGAATATCCCAACACAATTCAGAGTTATAGGAGACATTTTCTTTTTCTTTTTTTTTTTTTTTTAAATATTTTATTTATTTATTTCACAGACAGAGATCACAAGTAGGCAGAGGAGGCAGGCAGAGAGAGTGGGGAGCAGGCTCCCTGCTGAGCAGAGAGCCTGATGCGGGGCTCGATCCCAGAACCCTGGAATCATGACCTGAGCCGAAGGCAGAGGCTTTAACCCACTGAGCCACCCAGGTGCCCCTATAGGAGACATTTTCTAATGTGATGGTATACCAACAAAACAAGAAATTTATATTTTTTCTAAAAGTTAAGTAGAGCAATCCATTTTTTTTTTAATTTTGGTATTCATTTTTAGAATTTGCAAAGAGTACTTGCCACTTCTTTGAGAGTTACTCACATATTAATTCCCAAAGCACAACAGAGGGTGGAAGCAGGGAGATGAGGGAAAGACCCCAGCTCTATTGACATTTTTAAAGAGTGAGTCCATGTTCTGAAAGCATGCATGGTTCTCCTGAGTTCTTATGTCAACTTTAGAATAATGAAGTTGAAATTCCAACATTTTTTTCAAACCATACTATTAACATTTTTAACTTTTGTAGGCTTGAATACCTCATGATAGGTGTCCTCATCTTATTTAAAAAATATTTTCTGCACAATGTTAATTGGGAACTAAAACATCACACGGTCATAGGAAATATGTTACACATTAATTATGTGTAGTGATGCAAGCATATCTTACCTTTGTTGTTTAAGCATATTGAGTCAAATTAATCTTATATGCTTCATTTGCTGGTTGAAATATCTTTATATATGTTTACTATAGCTTTCTACCTGCAAGCACAGGGTCTGAATTAGACTACTGTATTGTTTAAGTTCATATAAAAATTTTGACTTTGTGTTATATATTACATGTTAGTTGTGTAGTTTCTAGAAAATCAAATACTTATTTTAAAGTTTTTCTTTTTTTAATTATGGAAATAAGAAGTAGAAGTGTCCTTAGGGATTATCTTGCCTAAGTTCTTAATTTTAAAGAGATGGAGGAAGGAAGTCCCAGGGAAATGAAGTGCATCACTTGCTCAAGGACACATGATCTGTTAGGGGTGGCACCCTCGTGTCTTAATTCGAACCTAATGCTCTCTCTCCTATCCCACATCCATTTTCACTCGGGGTCTAAGATGAGTCTCAGATCATTTTAGATAGCACTGGTGTGTAGTATGGCTTTTGCTTTCCACCTTGAATCCTAATACATTTCACTTCCCTTCTCAGTTTTGCATCTATTTAGAAACGCTCCTACATTATACTCCATTGTCTTTTTGCAATGGGAGAACCATGAGCTTTGTGGAATCACTTAAACAGGGCAATACCACCAATTTACCAGGACTTACTAAGTATTTTCCTGTGAGCAGGTCCCCACAGAAATGCCATAGGGGTGTAAAATATTACAATTTTCACCATATCTGCAACCTCAACAAAAGAGGCCTGCATATGTTTTGCTTCCTATGCCCAGTGACTCCTGTCCTATCTGTGCTCTTTCCCAGATTTAGCAAAATTCAGTGATGGTGCTAAATCTTTTTTTTTTTTTTCCAAGGGAGAAAACACAGGCAGAATTGTGTTTTCTAGGGAAAGCTCTGTGTAAATGAGAAACAGAGGAGAGTAACAGAATGATCTCCTGTGGCCTCGCTACTACAAGCTCTCCCCATCTTGTCTCATGCTTTTATATTAATTACAACTTGCATTATCAGCTGTGAGTCTGTAGCCCAGCAAATAGAAAATACTGCCCCTGGAGACCTAGCTTCTTGTATCTATTTTCCATCTCCTTCTATTGTGTTCCACTCAGTATTCACTGCTTTTCTCCTGCTAACACTGCTCTTTAACGCAATTACGTAAGAGCAAGAAGAGTACCATATTTGACTCCCAATTATTAAAGCTGCTGGGAATAGAAACATGTTCCTTCCTTGCCCTTGGGTGTCTTCAGGATACTTGGGTTGAAGCACAGGACACGTAGAGTGCAATGGGTCTACCTGAGTGCTCGCACACACACGTGCACTCAGAGAGCATTCTCTTTATTTTCTACTTACATCATGTGTTGTACATGCTTTCATATGCCACTTTGGTTTCAAGATTCTCTAAACTTCTGCATATGATTTGGCAGAAAGCCAGGCAGTTGTTCTTGAAGGATGTAAACTTGGAAACTATCTAGGGAGGGGGAAAAAAAGAAAGAAAGAGGTTGTGATACAAACAAATATTTCAGTCTCAGGAAAAAAATAAACAACAGTGTTATGAGTAAAGGATTATATTTTATCTATCTGTGTAGGTTGTAATTTTTTATGACCACAAAGGTAGCAATTCCTTATTGACCAGATTATCAACGTTTGTCACCATGGTGTAGCTGGATAGGAACTTTGGGGTAACTTTGGGATAACCTCACAGCCCTGAAGGCCCAGAGAGATCCATCTGTTTTTCCTACTTTCCTTCTTTCGAGTCAGAGGAATGCCATGGTTTCTCCTTAGTCTGTGTCAGTCTCTCCAACAAGGTCATAATACTTGAGACACTCTACGGAAATAAACATCTCATGACACTTGTTGGGGCTAGTATTTTTGAGGATTTGGAGGAGAAAAGAGAGGAGATGGGGGCATGGCATGTTAAACAGTGACCATGAACAAGTTGTAGGACTGGGCTGAAAACCGAAGATCCAACTCACTTAGAGGAATCAGCTGCTTTTAAAGTAAAATTGGCTTATGTGGCTTGTTTCCCATCCCTTTACTTTAGAAAACACCCCCTCCAGAAAACCACTGGAAGAAGTACACTGAATTGTAAATGAATGAGGTCTGTCTTTTAAAAACGCAGCACAGGTTTGACTGAGGGGGGCCAACCAGTATTTTCAGTAGGGGAAGTCCTTTCGAGCAGTCGCTCCAAGTCACTCTAGGGCCCAAACAGAAAGACTTGCATCATTTGAATGATGATATAATAGTTGTTGGATGACATTTATCTTAAAACATAGTTGAGATGTTAGTGGTTAATTATTGTAATTTTCATGAGGGGTAAGGAGCTTTTATAGCAGCCTGCTTAATAAAAAGTCTGCAGTGCATAAAATTAACATCACTCGCTGTATACACGGAAAAGTTTAACTAGGTGAATGTGGTTCAGTTATTTCATTTTCTAAAAGAAGTCTCTAGCCAGTGTTGTTGTAGGGATAAACTCATGCCATGCTATTGTTTCTTTCTTCCTTTCTTTCTCTCTCTCTTTCTTTCTTTCTTTTTCTCTTTTTTCCGCATAATTCTTCTAGCTCTTTATCTGATTACCATCCGGCAAACAGCTGACCCGAGGAGACTGCAAAGCTTGAAGAGCCCCTGTATTCTGTTTGCCTTTAGCTTGAAACTCTTGGAGTGGTTTCTAACTTTGATAAAAAGAGAAATCACAGGCATGACTTTGTCTTAATACAGGCGGCACAGAACCTTGATTTTCATTTTATTCGACTCCGTTCCCTAATCTCCTTTCTAAAACATAACCTCTAGAGATCTAAACCTGTGCTGTGTTTAGACTCCCAAGATTTGTGCTTCAGGTGTTCACTTGGAAATCTGTTGCTAGCCTGATGGCTGTGCCAGTAGCATGATTTGATATAGTTATTCCTGATCTATAGAGCCTTGGGTCATTTCATCATCTCTCAAAAATGCTAACTATTAATTTGTAGTCAGTTTGTAGTGGGTCTGCAGAGGGGAAAAAAAAAAGGTGTTTTGTTGTTGTTGTTGTTCCAAATAAGAATAGTCCCTTATTTTGTCTCACCATGGTTTCTTGATTCAATTTTGACAAAATTTTATATTCTATATATACGTTAAAGTTGATGTAGAAGAAAATGATAGACTGATTTTTTTTTTCTGGATATACTATATACAATGACAACATGGCAAGATTGCTTTCAGATGGTCAAGATGTTTGCATGCTGCCCATAGGAATGTCTGAATCCTTATTTACCAATTCTTGTGAGAAGAAATTGAGGACTTTGAGAGATTGATGTTGTTTTATTCTGCCTCCAAAGAATCTCCCCGCCCCCCAATAAGAATTTGCTTGCCAGGAGATCTTCGGGCTTTAGTTGAAGTCATCACATGCAAGTGACAAGTGTACGCCTCTGGCCTTAAGGCTGGCCTGCTTCGTGTGCTGTTCTTACCCTCCGTTTCTGCCAGAGGAAATTCCATCTCTTGCCTGCCTTCATGTGGTGCTGATAAAGTCCTTCCTGTACATTAGAATTCCTGTTTTCCTTTAAGCAACAGCAGGGGATTGGGAATGATCAGGAAAGGGGAGGAGGAACAGGAGAAGAATACACTCAGCAAAGTAGCATGAGCTATAATTTCTCCGTTTGCCTCGCATACCCTCTGGAACAAGTCATACTTCCAGGAAAGAAGCACTGCCCTGTGACTTTAAAGCTTCCATGGAGCTCACGTGGAAGTTTACATCCAGCTGGCTGACAGTTCATAGTTGTTTCATTTTGTTGGGTAATATCACTGTGTCTGTTGGTGGTATAATCAGTTGGTAATTTTCAGAGATCATTCAGGTTGGTTTAGTTCAATGCATCTGAAAGATCCAAAGGGTTGCCCTGTACTTTCTTGGATCTGTGGGGTTTTGTTTTTGTTTTTGTTTTTTAAGGGAGTCAGTTGAGTTTTGGAGATGTTCTGTAATTAGCCTCCAAGAGTATTGGCCTCATTCTTGGAAGAGTGTGCCCCAGTTAGGGCACCAAGAGTAGAAATGACTTCTAGATTTGTGTTTTCCTAACTTTAAAGATTAACTTTATTGAGGTATAATTCGTGTATAATGAAATGCTCCCCTTTGAAGCATCTGTTTCAATGAGTTTAAACACATGTACACAGTGATGTAACTAATCATCACCTCATCAAGATTCTAAAAGTTCTTACTTTTGGTACCTATTGCTGACAAGACAACATTCCATAGTATGGAATCTAAAGATGCCTCCTTCCACAAATACTCACATGTGTACATTTTTTGTCTCCCTCTGCACCTTTCGTCTTGGCTCCTCACTTACGGCTGAAATGGTAACTGTGGAAAAATCTCTTGGCACCCTGACATCAGAATCCTGCTTCTTGGCGAGATCATGATGATGCAACCTCTACCCACTCAGCAGGCACCCCGGGGCCCTCCAGTGGGGGCCATGCTTCGCAGAGTGGAGACAACAGCAGTGAACAAGGTAAAGGGTCAAGCATTTTCCTTGTACAAAGTAGACACAACTAAAATAACTTCAGTATTTTATGATCTCAGTACATCTATCTCCCTGTAAACAGGAGAGTGGCGGGTTAGAGAGCTGCGATGTATTTGATGTATTTCCTCTGAACTTAACATTACTTTAAAAAAAATGTTGAAGTGAGACGTCTAATCCTTAAGTAGACATTACAATAACAATTGATTAGTTCTGCCAATTCTTTTACAAATTTGGTTATCTACACTTTACTTCTGCGTGTGAGTAAATAGAATGACAGGCTTACTTTGCTTCTATCATGCACTAGTTTGAATGATTCTATAAGTGGGATATTCTGTTTGTAGTATCAACCGTTGGAGTTCTCTGTCATCAAGTAAGGATGCCTCTATAAGCACATAAAATACCCAAGTCTTTTCTTACGAGCTCTAGAAGTACTGTGTGAATTTTATGTGGGATTTTATCTTGGGAAGATGGATTTTGAAGTTCCTAGATTATTTGTCCCCATTTCTTTTTGGCTGACATGGTGACTTTTGTCACAAGCCCTAAAAATTAGAATAATCCGAGGGCAAGGGGGACGTCAACTGCAGATGACAAGGAAGCCTAGGGTAATTTAGAATAAATTTTACCATTTAAAACTCACCTATTGCACAGAGAGCAATTACACATTGGTAGGGATGACTCTTCTATAGTTAAATCATAATTTAAAGGAAGATACATTATGAATGTGGGCCAGGAAAGTGTATAGATTTTACTTTTTAATATTTTACGTTAGATGGTGTCTGATCTCCTAGGTCTATTTCATCTCTATTATGACTGTGTTTATGGCCACAATATTTAAGCATTAGACAGTCTTCCATGTGGAGGACAGTTTGACAGCTTGAGCTGTAGCCGTCTATGCCATTCAAAAGAGGGTGGTTGATGTAGGGTGAGTGCCTTGACTCCGAGTTTCTGGCCACGGGTTTTGGATTACGAGTATCCTAGAAGAGTATAGAAAGAAACTTCTCTTCTAGGATGCCATTAATGGTGATTAAGTCCAAACTAGAATCCGGATTATTTGCAACTGATACAGATGTGAAAACTGTTGGATGGTAAATTGTGGAAGAACTTGTGAATTGGATGTATTGAGGTTTATCTACTGTCTTTATGAGACCAGTTAGGCTGTACCTAAGAAAACCAAAGTGGAAGGCATTTTGGGGATGGCGTGGACCCCAATCCCGTGGATCTGCACAGCCATGGCTTAATTGCGGTTCCCCGGCATGGCGATGGACTTCTCAGGGTTCTTAAATCTGGAAAGCTTTGGATGAGCCCACCTTCCTTACCACGTCTAACTGCTATAACACAAAGTGTGAGAGGTATCTATTAATAAAAACAAAACACCCTCAACATTGGACAAAAGAGAGGAAAAGAGAAGCAGGCTTAATGGTCTAATGAGGCTATCTTCCAAAGACTTGTTGTGTGTGAGGCTCGCTTTGACCTTTCACTTTGCTCAGGAGCCCAGCGCTTCATTTTTCACATTCTTGCAATTACGTTAACGCTTCAAGCATTTCTGACTCCAAGTCAGCTCGCAACACCAGGCATAACTCAACACTGTGAGTTTTTCTCCTCTCTGTAGATTCATTAACAGGTCACGAAGGTCCCAACTGAAATTTAAAACTGACTGGTTCTGTTGGGTTGGTTGAGTTATGGCAAGGGAGATAGCAGGAAAGGACCAGCGAGAAGGGGAGGGGGAGCGAGAAGACCCTGGGGTCTGGAGCTGGAAATCGTTGGCCGCAACAGGCAAGCCACGGAGTTTTATCATTTCGGGTAGTTTTGTTTTCTTGGTGGTGGTGGTCAGAAAAAGAGGAAAGTTCTGAGACGGATACACTGGGTAAAAGAGAGGCCCACACACCTCTATGTTGTAGGTAGCTGCACCCACTTATCCCATGTTGAAGGATTTGATCCCTGCAGGATTTTGTTCCTTTTATCCTATCTCCGTGGGATTAAAGAATGGACATGGTAGCTTATGTGTGCGAGTACTAGGAAGTCGGTCATTTTATTGTATTAAAGTGTGAGGGGCAAAAACAAGTTATGATTCCTATAAAATAGGGAATGTTTGGCACGGAGAATTTCCTACCTGGCTTATCACATCAGTGGTCCCCAAACACATGTCTGGGGGTATTCTGTTTGTTACCGCAGACTAAATTTGGAAGGCTGGGCTCGGAGGTATTTTGTCATACTCAGGCCTATGTTTGTCTTTTAAACATGTATTTAAGGCATTCTGAAATGTGGCCCACTGAATTGTCCAGATTAGCTTTCTATGGGAAAGATTAATTATCTGCTGCAGGGCAAAGTCAACAGAGATATTGACTGAAATCACATATGCTTATCCTAGGTTAAATCTTAGGGTTGCTGTATAATGGGAAACCTAGGAGGGAAATTTATGTTCCTCGTATTAAATATATCATAATGTTTCACTGGAAACCAAGTTAGTAGTTTAGAAAAGAGTTTTCTTGCGTATTCAGAATTTATTAGCACAACAGGCATATGGAAAACTGTAAAATGACTCAGTTTCAAAACAAATTATGATAAACAGAAAAAATAGGGATGAATTGTACTAAATACAATGTTTTCATACACATTTTAAATTAAACTTTAATAGCCATATGCTATAAAACAATACATGCATGTATGTTGCTTTATATTTTTTGTGACTATCTTTACTAAAATGATTCATACACGTCTTTACTTTGGAACCTAAAAATACCTCATTTTATGACTTGATAGTGAAAGAGCTACAGTTACACAGGTGAAAGGTCATCTTTTCCTCTCTAGTGTTTGTGCAACAAACCAAATAGAGAAAAAAAAAATCAAATTTTAGAAATATTGTAAAAAACAAACTTGGTAAAATGTAAAACCTGACTTTACTCTGTCTTTCAAACAGCACATGCCTAGCAGTAAACTATATAAATATGAACCAGATTTTCATTCACTCTGATTTCTTTTGCTAAAAGCAGCCAAAGGGAGGGAGTTTGTCTTGTTAGTTACATTAGAATGAAGAAAGAAATCTGGTTTTTCAGAGACAGAATTAGGGTGCAGACTGGGGACTCTGGGGCAGTAACTGGCCTTCTTTGTGTCTGGCTTCCCATCAGTAAAATGGGGCTTGATAATAAGGCTTGGGGTCCCTAATTCTGTACCTGCTGAGTCAAAAGCTGCTTTGTATTTCATTGTGTATTTTGCCAGAGTAAAGACTAGGAAGCAGCCCCCTTGTTCATAGAGCACTTTGAGAGCCTCAGATGAAAGGCACAATATATGTACAAAGTATTATTATTATTGATGGGTTTGTGTAACTCCCATTAACGCTGATGGGAGTTACGCATGTGAATTGGCAAGAGAATAGACCCCTCAGTGTTTAGAGCACATGAAATTTACATTTTTTCCAGTGCTGTAATTGAGATGTTGACAAATTGGAGAATATTGATGAGCCTTTGTTTTAAGTATTTTGTGCCAAGTTTGTTTTATTTTTCCTGGTTTGAACAATGGTATGGGTTCAGCAGCAATGAATAAAAAGGGTAGAGTAAAGATAACTTTGTATTTCAATATTTTGATGTGCCAATATGAAATAAATTGTCTTAGGCAAATGGAATATGCTGTTTTAATCATTAGCTATGCATGAAAGAAAAATTGATGTTGACATCTTTGCTGCAAAATCGTTGTAATGGGGCCTTCCTTACAATTCATTTTTGTAAAATTCATTTTGTACATTTTGCAGCAATTGAACAATCCCTGCACTGTGAATAGGCAGGATTCCCAGAAATACCGAGACAGTTGGCCCAGTAACTGCTGAGCTCACACTGCACACCACACGCACGTTAACCATACTGTTGCCAGACCCAGTTTAACCTAAATACATTAACATACTAGCATGTATATATCTCTAATCTTGCAGGACACAGGGCTGCACAAGCCAGCATAATTCCCCTCAACTCTGCCACCTACCAAACCCTTCCATTGATGTCTCCAACTATGATCCAGGCAATGAGACTATTATTTTAGAGCTGGATATTTATTTATATATTATACAGTTCTTTACCAGTCATGGTGGTGAAAATCTAAAAATACCCCTTTATATTGAATGTGTTTATAGGTAAACAAGCATCTAAAATAGTATTACACTTTTGACTTTATAATGCGTGCTATCGGTATAAAATAGATTTCTCCCCCACCAGAATATTCCAATTATACATTTAAAGGAGGGATAAAAACCTCCAGCCTACCCACAGTGGATCCTGAACATGTTCTACTGGGATTTCTTATTCAGTCTAGGAAAACCCCGTCAATGGAATGTTTTCATAGTGGCGGCAATTTCTTTAAAATAACCCTAAATACAATATGACAGATGCCATCTGGCATAATCTTTTGCTAGTTGCTTTTAACTTTTATTTTTCCTAGAGCTAAGTTCATCCAAAACTGGTCACTCACTTTTAGGATAAGTAAATGACATTTCTTTTCCTTACTGTCTTCCTAATTGTATATAAAAAAAAAAAATTCTCTGAGAATGTAATTGATAATTGAACATTCCCACAGAAGAAGTTGTTGTATATAGAATATTTATGTTGCATTTTTTTCCTCTGCCGCTCCCCCTGCCCCAGTAAAGTCAAAAGAATACCATCCTTCAGCCATCAGCAAACATCCAAATAATTTCTGTTGATTTTTTCAGGACTTTTTAGAATAGTAACCATTAGAAATAAAATTAAACTCTTCTAATAAATAAACGCTCTAGGAGCATGTAATAGCGCCCATAAATGCTTAAAAGCTTTCTATGATTGCTGTTAATTTTGAGTAATTTCTTCCTATATGTATCAACTTACTTGAAAAACCCAGAGTTGGGATTTCTAGATTTTTTTTAACTTAGTCATGTAAAGGGATGTCTCCTGATGCCAGTTAGAGTTTAATTTAGAGTAGTAATTAAACTTGAATACTGCCTCATAAACAAAAGATAAACAATAAACCAG